GTCTGAAAACCGTAATTTGTTTCATTAAATCATATATATATATGAAATGTTGTGGGCGTAACAATTAATTAAATGTAATGAACTGTTTGCTGTTGAAGAATTTCGGGTTAATGAATAAATATCTAACTTCCAAATTTTTGTTTTACAAGTTCAGTTTTATTTCAGTGAAACTTGCTTATAAACTATGAAATATCAAAAAAACCTAAAATAATAATTAATTGCGTTAACAAAAATTCAATTGCAATGAGAAAATTTTTATACCTTTCGTAGGTTTACATTCTAACTTCCTATTTCGTAAAGTTTGCTGCATGTCTCTTCTTTGCCTTTGCTTTTGACGTTTTGTTGTTAATCCCGACACCATACGTAAGCTTCAAAGCTTAACTCTTCGAGTCTTGTTCATAACATTAATCCTCTAATTCTTGCCCCTGCAACAATATCGAATAAATATGCTAAATAAATTGTATTCCGTACATTAAGCCAGCAAATGCTGAAGGTTGAATTCTAATTAAATTAATAATCACTAATCAAACATGTCGTCAACATAGCAAATGTGTAAAATGCAGATTTTATGTGGAATGAAAAGTAACAATCTTTGTCGGCAATCGATGTTTGTAGATTTTAAATCTTATGAGAAAAAATTCCATAGCAAGCACTCAATGAAATATTTAATCAAATTCTAATTATATAGTCGTGATCTTAATTGAATATTTATTTGGTTTATTTCTTGGGGTGAATAATCAATAATAATTGAAGCTTAGCAGGTCTTCATAAAAATGTAATGTTTAATAATTAAACATCATTAATGTACAATGCCCGGATAATCCGATATTTAAATAATAATTCTATCACAGCAAAACCACTTAAGCACATGAAAACATTTTATGAAAGGTTAATAATTTAAAAACCGCGAACGTGTTGCTGAAAACAATGTTATTTAATGGCAATACGGTGTTGTTTTAATCACATCTGGAATTTATTTCCAACCTGTCAACAACAACCGATTGGAAGTTGCTTCCATTGATGTTAATTTCCTCGTCGTCGGCACTTACATTAAAGCTTAAAACTGTACACCTTACACAAAGGATTAAAATTCCTTCTAGTGTTTTTCTTTGGTTTCTGAAAACGGAGCTATCAATCTCAAATGGATTGCAATGCAAGGTGTCAATTGTAACATGCACCGAGTCTCTAAACATGCAAATTCAACTGTCAATCAATGCATTTGACGTGATGAAAACAGAGATTTCAAAGATTCCAGCTTACGAAACAGTTTTTTCTTTATTAAATAAACAACTTGATGCGATCATCTTGAGCTTTTTATTATTATAAATTTTAATTAGATATTTATAAAATAATTCAATCTTAATTAAACTTGTCCGTAACAATTATGACAATTGGAATATTTTTCTTACTTATTTCTATCTCGTTTTATACAAATATGAGAAAATTTCAATTTAACTTAACAATTATATTCACTGAAGACTTGAAGTTGATGAAATTTTCAATTAACAAGAGAGTTGAACAAAGAAAGACTTTATTTAAGGCACGAATCGGAGTAATCCAATTTTATTGGCAGAACATTTACATACATATTTATCGATTGCAATAACAAATCACGTGAATTGATAAAATAGTTCGAGAAATTGTTTTAAAGATATTTAACAAACAAATGTTGCATGTGTAAGGTGAAGATTAAATTCTCTTTAAGAGAATCATTTCTTGTATTTATCATGTACATAATTCAGGGCCTTGTTCCGTTTTCTGTTTCGTTTCTGTATGCCGGAACAAAAAAACGCCACGGAACAAAGCCATGCCATAAGATATATTTTTAAAGATATTGAAATGAAATTAAATCTTTATTACAACTTGTAATTCACAAATGTCTTTAAATTAAAAGAAATTACTTATCATAATCTTGTAATATTTGTTTAAACTTTACGAAACGTGGAATGGCAACTTTGAGAATAGTAATAAGAAACTAAATACGTTTAAAGTTTCAAAACATTAACATTATTAAAATTCTACACATTAAAATCAAAGATATTTAAGACATAAAGTGATGTGTGGAAGATTTTTAATCTTTAGGAGTAATTTTTCTTTATACATGATAACTCAATTTCCATCATATCCTAACTAATATGACACAATCAGAATAAATATTTATAACTTTTTTTACAAAAGAGAATCTTAAATCTAATTTATCTATTTTAATATTTTTTTTCTGAATATCTAATCGAAAATATTTAATTATTTTTCTATAAACTATTTACAAACTATTTGATGTCGTCATGACAAATACATTTCAAGAGAGTTATGTTCACTGAATCCACCATGGAGAAGATCATTGAAGGAATTGAGGGCATCGAGATGATTAAGCGGACTTAAACATGGTTCGGAGAGATGAAGTGATTCGCCGTCTGACTCAAGACCAAGTAAACCAAGTTCCAATGGACTGAAGCATGGTTCAGATAATTGCAATGATTCGCCATCAGATTCAAGAATCAAACCCAAATCAGCTGGGCTATCGTCATTAGGTGGTGTTAAACATGGACTCAAGTCGTATTTACTCAAACAATTCAAACTATTATTGTTGATGTTATTACTTTGTAACATCGTTTGATTGAAGTTGCCACCCAAAAGTTGGTTAATGAATTTCGCATCGTGATTGTTTAAGCTTTGATGGATTTGCCTTTGATTTCGGCTGATGATTGGCGGTGCAAGTGGCTGATGTTTGATGGAATTCTTCTGGGCTTTGGAATGCGATTTTGACGTCGGCTTTTTCGTCTTCGCATTATTCGCTTTCACCGATTTCTTTGACGTCATTTTTGCAGATTTTACGGGCTTCACAATCGAATCACGGATGATTTCCTTACAGTAATCATGATGATTTTGAGCTAACACATTACCGCCTGGAACTGAAAGTTTCTCTTTACTGTTTCTGTTATTCACATTCACAACAATAGCTGGTAGAAGCGCTGATGTCGGCTTATCTTTTCTCTCATTGATTCCATCAAATTCCATTATTGATGCCAACAAATTGTCACTCACTTCAGTTTTGTTGTCAAGAATATCGCTGAGGATTTTGATGTATTTCATTGCCATCCTAAGCGTAGTAATTTTTGTGAGCTTCTCGTTGGTGCTTTGTGCTTGAGAGCCAGCAACAATAACGGGAACTGATTGTCTTAAAGTCTCAAAAGCATGATTGATTTCGCGCATTCTTGTTCTCTCCCTCGCGTTTGCTGTTTTTCTTCGATATTTTGATAACGGAGCCGCTCGCTGTTTCGGTTTCTCTTTCGCCACCTTCTCTGTGACGGTTGTTAAAGCTGTGGACTCATCATTTGTGGAATTATTTAAGTTCGCTTTGCTTCTACTGTTGCCACCACTTGCGGTCTTTGACTGCTTACTTGTAATCGATTTACGTTGACCACGTTGTCGAAGCGAATATTTTTCATTCTTCTTTATCGACAGATTATTGTTGCTGCTGTTCTCGTTGTTGTTATTTTGATCTGACTCCATTGTAACGTCGGGTGATTGATCCATCGTAATTGAGTGCATTATATCGTTACTTTTATGGTGCATCTTTTAAGTAATACGCAATAATTTATTTATCGCTCTCGTTCTCCCTCCTTCTTATGTGTATCAGTTTTTTTTTGTTTTGTGCTGTTTATTTCCCTGTAAAAAATAAAAATGAAAGAAAAATGAGAAAAATGATTACAAAATAAATCAAAAGTATTTTGTTGCATTCCAATCTAGTTTCTTGCTAACTATTAAGTAGATTTATTCAAATGAAATTAATCTGGAAGTTATCAATTAAATTGTCTCGTTTCGCCTTAAGTTATTGCGGAATATTTTCAAGCTTCATTCATAATTGAACGACATTAATTTTGTTTTTTTTTTCTCTTTTTTAAACTCATTGAATGAGCTTAGAGGAGTTCGTTTTAAGACTAATGTTGACTTTTGCTTTGGATTTCAATTAAACAAAAAATGTCTTTTAATCTTTGTCTTGAATAGTCAGGAAAATTAAGTCACGTGACGTTATAATGAAATAATCCCAAAGCAGATAAATAGATAGAAATAGATTTATCTGAATAAGAAAAATATTAAATAATTTATCAATCCATGCCTCTATGCAAATGCTCATAATCAATTAAGATATTCACGATATCCAGACGAGTACGATAAATCACATTATTATGCAAAGGAAGTCAAAAGCTTTTGAGTAATTGTCGTCTGATGATCGCTCTACTGACTCATGTTATTTTCGCGTTAAGTGTTCCGTAAAAGAACTGCAATTATTCATTCGATTCTCGACTCAATACGCGACTTTCGATTTTCTCCTCGCCCCTTTTTCTAAAGTGACAATTGTGAGGTGAGGTGCTTCATATTACACAGTGAAATGCATCACATCATGCTGCTGGAAATATGATCTTCAATTGCGATGCTGCATTTGCATAAATGACTTTCAAATCAATGCATAATTCATTTCAAGTCTCGACTGTTGGGGTTTACATGTAAGTAATATAAATAATGAGGAAAATGCATTGTTAATGTTTTTCTGCTCTATGTACAACCTCAATTATCACGCTGGTAGTGCCATTAATATTATTTAGCTTCAGCCACGGAATCGATCATTGGAAATCCGTGTTGGAATGCATTTAAGATGCAAAAAGCTTATTTAAATAAATAAAAGAAGAGTTTTTCGTTGAAAAATTTCATGCGAGGATTTCGGCACATCGTTAAACAAAATATCCGCTGTCGAGGCTCGTTAATGAAGTGACTCGAAATTCTCGTGTTCTTAATTAGACTAAAGTTTGGTCAAAAATGCAACTCTTAAGCTGATAAAATTCACGTTAACCTTGATGCTATCTTAATAGGATTCAATAAGACCTTTCAGAAGTTGTAATAAGAATAACAAAGAAGAAGTTAATGAGATGCAAAACTATTTGACCGGCTACAAAGTGACGATTCTTTTTGCACCACCCAAACTGAAATTAAGAGATCAAATAGCGTTGATAAAGAAACACATTTTGCTTAACATTTAAATTCACTCAATTTTTGCTCAAATATTTATTTCATTCTCTGATCTTCTGACTGTTTCAATGCGCAGTTCTCTTTGACTTTATTAGCAGTTTTAAAGCGACTCAAAATTCAAAGTCATTTTATGATTATATTTTTTCATCAATCAACAATGAAATCGTTCATTTCCTCCTTTTGAATTCGCTGCACAATCTTTTCGACATTTATGTTGATTTAAATGATGATCAAAGTATGTTAATTATATGCGGGTTTAAGGGAAGGGTATGTGACCCACTTAACTAATAAGCAAATCTTCTAGAACAGTTCATTAAGTGCTGATCCATTCCTGAGAACTTCTACAACTTAAATTAAGTTTTTTTTTTCTGTGTTCGTTGTCAAATTATCGCTTCAAAGATGTTTCAAAGCGACTTAGGGTTGGGTTTAGTCAACACACACGAAATACAAGAAAAAAGATCGTAATAAGTTAATTTTTTCTTTTACAAAAGTCATCATAAATTTAAACAAACAAAAAAAGCATTCGCCATCTCGTCTAGTTTAGTCTGTGCTGCTTGACTAATTGGTCAAGCCATGAAGCGACTAACATCGTCGTCGTGATCAAAGTCAAACAAGAAAATTGGATCATTATTGAACTTCGATATCTTTTCGTTTCTTTAAATATTTGTTTTCGGTATTAGTAACAATAACAATAAGAAGTGGAACGTTTGTATTTTTTTTATTATGATTGTAATTTGCCTAATGGTGAATCAAAATTTTTGCCAGTGGCAAAACAAACAGAGCTGTAATCAAAACAAACTTCTTCATTTAGCTTTATTGAGAGTTTTAAATAAATAAGACGTCCTTGACCTGTTTCGATCTCTTTGCAAATTAACTCTCGAACTTAATCATGACAACGACACTCTGGCTTGCTTGTTTCTCCCCTGTTGTGCATAAATATCTTACGTCAAGCGATGATGTTGATGATAGTTTAACAGATTTGAAGTAAAGATAAGTAAGTTGAGAGTTGAGGAAAGAGAGACGTTAAGAGATTCGCTTTTATCTTGAAGAAGATAGTTAAACATTTCGTTATTTGATCAAATTAAAGTTAATGATGACCGCTGTAAGATAAGATAAAATTGAGGGGAGTGTCTCGAAGTCACAAAGTTAAATACTTAGGCGGAAACATTCAAATCGCTTAGATTATTATCAAGTTCTCATTTAAAATGGTAATTGAATTGAACCTGTCAACATTTTCAAGAATGAATTGGATTGCGTTTCGAATTGTGAACTTGTTTCATTGTTCCCAACAAACATGGATGAATGTAAACATGAGTGGGTGGAAGATTGCCTTCATTAATATCTATCGCAGTAAATTACATTAAACTTCTATTTTCTTAATTTTGAACGACCAATTTAACAATCTACGAATTTCTTAAGTAAAATCTTCCGAGTCTGTCTCCCTCGCAAACCAACCAACCATCCAGACAACATCAACAAAAGCCATCAAATTAAATTGCACACAATTAATTGAAGTTAAATTTATTTTCTTTTTTATATCTTTAAATTGCGCAATAAATTTCTTTCGTCTTTTAAATGTTTTTTTGAATTTCATCATTCTTTCGAAACTCTTTTCTGCTTTGTTGTCTTTTATGTATATCACAAGAAGGGCGAACTTTAGTGGCGCTCAAAATGTATAAATTGACAAAAATTTAAGAGTATCGTCCATCCTGATGTCGCGTGTGTCATGTTGTTGTGTAATTAATTAAAGTGTGCTTATAATATAAATCCCGATTATACATATATGTACATGTACATGTTTGTCGATCAAAAGCAAAAAACAAAAGTTTGTACAAGGCAAAACGGAACCTCGACTAGCACGTCACTTTCAGTCATAAATCACTTGATTTACAGCACTCGAAAATCACTTTTTTTCGAACGTTTTATGCTTGTACATTAATAAATAAACGAAATTTCCAAGCGTCCTTCTCAAAGTCGACTTAACTTACACTCTTTACGCTATGCCATGGGTTGTAAGAGATTTTTTAAGAGTCTTACATTGCCAACTTGTCATTAACTGCTTACGAAAAAAATCAGTTTCTTCTTATTTACGTGAAATTCATTTAATCTGATGTCAAAGTCAGCACTGCTTAACATAAATAAATAACTGAATGGTGATAAGCCTTTCAACTTCATCTTACCAATTTTTTTAGTTTTATGTGCGCAAATATTTTGTCATTTTCACTTTCGAAAGACTTTTTCTTTTCAAGCTTCTGCAAACATTAACTTCATGCTTTTACTAATTGATGATTAATGTTTCTGAAATATTTTATGATTGTTGATCGATTATTAGTGAGAATATGAAAAATTCATTCGAAGTTAAAAAAACTTTATCATGAAGCTTTTTCGCGACTTACGGCGACATAAAGCAAGCAAGCAGCAGACCCGACATAAAGTTTCAATTTTATCTCACGTTCCATATATCACAACCGATGCCAAGCATTTTCACAAGAAAAATTATTGTTCGTATCTTTATTTAGTCGGAGTGATTTACCCGAAAAAGGCCAACTAAAGGTTGACAAGATATTTACAGGCTTGTATGGCATGAATTTCTTTTTGTCAGTAAACACTGCGTTATATATCGCTCTTTGTGGTTACGAAGCAGCCACACAACATTAATTAAGTTAAGGAAAGTATAATTACATGGACGTGGACGCTAAACATGACCCAGTTGATAAAGTGCGGTACTTCAGACGATAATGAAACAAAAGCAAAATTTCTCACTGGGGTTTTACTTTCATCTGAGATGACTGATAACTTCTACTTCAATCTGACACTCTTGACACAGGTATTTACAAAATTAAGCGGATTTACCGCAAAATTTATTATTAAAAAAAGAAACAAGAAAGTTAAATTAATTAATTAAATGTTTAACGACTCATCGCTTGATGTTTGACGTTCCACACTTCAAACGCAAGTTTTCGTTGTGATCCACGTAGTAATCTTAAATAGATTCATTTTTCAACTGATAACAAATTGAAGAGAAAAATTATAAAAGTAAATGGATTTGAAATTAATTTTTTTCAAATAAATATTTGAAATTTGAGATAACAAGAAAATGAGAAAGAAACGAAAAAGAAAAAATCTTTAGTGACAGGCTTTAAAAACGAAGCAAAATGGCATTTTAAAATGGATCAATTCATTGAATTGTGATCCCTTCAAAGAGATTACACGGTGAATGGTAGAAAAAAAATAAATAAATAGAAACATAAAATTAATATGTTATCTCATGACTATTAATATATTTTGTTTCATCAAGATTTCTCGCTATTGGGACTCTTCAAGGCGCCAACATGAAGAAACTCAGCGAAAGCCACAAACATCTCGAAAGATTGAAAAGAGTCCGTCCTTCAAATCAATCAGCACACTGAATATCTCGTGAAACAACAACATCCATTTCTCTCACAAATGGACTATTAATTCAACAGCAATAAATAAGCTTTTTTGAGTGGTGGGAAAAATTTATGAGAGGTTCTCTTAAGATCACTTGCGTTGCTTAATTGTTTTTGCGGTCGAGTTGCAATTTTATGAACATAAATATTTTTTTCTTTCCAATTCTTTGTTTTCTGCCTCAAAACCAATATTTTACTTCTTGCTTAGCTTTTTAAGTGGTTTTGAGGTTTAAAGAGATGACTGTCTCTGTCCGTCGAGAGTTAAATTTATTGTGAAATCAAAACAAGAAAGACATTCTATATCCAATTTAATTTCTATTGAAATGTGATAATTTAAGATTCTTTTTTTCATAAATATGATCACAAATTTACACGATAAAACATGCCCCAGAGTATTGAGTTCTACATCAACTTCAAGCTCATTTTATTCTGCATCAAATGCATCAATAAACATAAAACATTTTGTAGCTTTTCGTGTCAGAAGTATTGTAATGAATAAAATTAAAAACTTTAACGATTCTGAAATCTGAAAGAATTCTTTTTTAAGCATAAGTATCATCGACTATGCTATGCAAACAAATCCCCACCGCGATAGAATGACTTTATGATAGCGAGTCGTAAAAGTGTCGAGCTTAATTAATATTTCTCGACAACATTTTTAAAAGCTTTCTTAAAATGTTCATTTTTTGACAGAATAAAGAGTTTAGGTCGTTGTTATCTATCTTCACGTCCCCCTCGCGTTGATCGTTAAAAACTAATTAAATGCTTTGCTTTTTACGACTTTTGTCTCTTTAATACGTTTTAACTTTTATAGCTTCTTCTCACTGATAGTTTTGCTAGTTGGATCAGTCATCATAAAAGATCAGAATTTCGAAATATGAGATCACAAATCCAACGTGAGTATTTCAATCTATTAATAAAAGGAAAGCGATTCATTTTTTTAATGGTATTTTGATCGATAATAATTGTTATTTTAGGCTAATACCTTTCGATTGCTTTTCATTTTGTGGGAAATAAATATGAAGACGATCGAAGTTTATTGTTTTAATCGCAAATTCACGAAGCTTTTCTCATTCTAATCCCTCAAACCAGCTTCTTGTCTTGATGTCGTAAATTTATTGAAATTTAATTTAATTTTTCTTTTTAAAAGCGGCGAGAGTTAACAAGACGATTCGTTAGCAAATTGGAGCAAATTAAATGAAATTGAGATGAGAAAAAAAAGGAATATCAAAGCTCAGTCATTTACTTATGATGTTATCTTAAGAAGGAAATATTAGACAAATCTTTCTTGGACCACTTGTAGCTGTTGTTGTTGTTGTTAAATCTCAGCTGTGCGATGAAATTTCTCAGCTAACTCTTTCACGCTAGACAGATTAAAAACATCTTTTAATAAACTTTCGCCCCGCTGATTCTGGATTTTTGTTTTATTTTATTTCGTTTTCGGCGCGAGCAATCATTTTCAATCATCGAATGTTTCTCTTTAGCCAAACAATCTGACACGTTTTGAAATTGAATTTTTGCTGTGCCTTTTATTTGTTTCATTGAGTTCGTGCTTGCTTGTTACTCGTTGATATGAAATTGAAACAGACAGTAGCCACTTGCTAAATGGGATCATAAAAAGTAAAATAAAAGTCGAAGAAGTTTGATAGACAATGAGAGAAAGTGAATGCATAAATATTTAACTGAATGATCATGTAACTGTTGGCTGTTGAGTTGAGTGACTGAGAGTTCTTCACGGTTCCTTGTGCGTGCTGGCGCTCGTTGTTTAAACGATTCCTCAGCACATCATTAAAGCACTAAATAATTACTCAAGAGTTGAGTCATTTGAAAGGTTCAGCTTTACTTTTTATTTCTTTTTTTGGTGTTATAGGAAACGTCAATAACATCAGAGATGGAAAAAGCAGGTCAAATCATCATAAAATAATTGAAACTCATTTCTATTGCGACATTTCAGCGGATGAGCCATTCACCAAAAACTGTCTCATAGACAATAATCTTGTCCTTTTGTTTTCAACAATTTTATTTTGTTTTTAAATAAGATCAACGTCCTCGACTTTAAGTAAAACCGCAATAACACCGTCGAGTGCCGATTCATGCTTAAAATAACAAGTATCTATCTTTCATGTATGTACGTGGAGAAAAAGGAGAACGAGAAAGAAAAAATAACGAAAAACAAGCAGCTTCGAGCCCATTGCTGATTACACATTAGCCGCCACTTAACATATTTTTTTTTACTTTACTCTGGCTTTAATTGCTCATTTTAACATTTTGTAGCACTTTCGCGCAAGAGCTGCGCCGGAGAATGAGAAAATGAAATGAAACTTAAGCAAATAATAAATTATGACGAGTGGATGTTTTGAGATTTTGTAAAGATTTTCGTCCACAAACTGATTTGATTCTTGAATTGCGGCACAAATTTATTTATTAATTCAAAACAACTTCAAGTTGACAATTGTGACATTTCCTTTTGACGTCGCCAACTGATCTTAAATTCATTAATTAAATTTGCCATTCGTTATGAGAAATTTTAATAAATTGTTGTTCAACATAAAGTTTCACCGCTGAACATGAAACAATTGTAAACAGGATCAGTGTTGAAATCTACAACTAAAGTTGTTTCTTTTCTTAGAACGTCTCTTAGACATTTTGGTCGAGATTTATTCACGAAATAAGATCGAAAACGTAAGAAAATAAAAAAGAAAGAAAAATCTTGTTCCTCGGAATGTTTGAAATCAGCTCAAATATTTTTATTTTGCAAGAAGATCGCGGGGTTTTTTTTCTTGTTAAATTCGCGTTCCTTTTTGTGATTTGTATTTCAAGTTCTTATGAAAATCGAGGTGAACATTATAAGAGATCCGTAATGCATTTGCGAAATGAAAGAGATCGAAAAATAGAAAAGAAATCTTTGCCTTTTTGATGCTTGGACCTTTTCTGACTTAAATTTTTTTTGTTTTCTTGACCACTTAAAAGATTTTGCTTCGTCTTCACCTTGATATAAAATCAGATGGAATAAATGTCTGGCGTCGAACAGAGCGAGAGAGAGAGGAAAAAAAATTAATTTATCTAATATCGATGAAACAGAAATCTTGGTGTGTACATTAAATTTTACAAGATGTCGTTAACGGTTGCTAGTAACGTTATCAGAGTCTACATGCGTAAATAGTAAAATGATGTTTAAAGCATTGAAGTTGCTTGAAGGCCATTTACATAGGAGTGAGAATAGGAAAAGATGTGAATGAAACTGCGCTTCTTATGTGTCATCAGATATGGAAGACTTAAATCCCAATAAGCTTTTATGTTATTTGACTTAAGCAAGGCGAAAAATTGTTAAGTCAAATCACGATGATGCGCAAACTAGACTCAGATAATTTGTTACAAACATCAAAATATTTTTCAATCTCCTATTTTGTGGATTTTTCAATTTTCGACGTTGGGATGTTTGCATTTCATTGTCATTTTCTTTCGAGCGAATCTTTCGTCTTTGTTTGCTTTCAAACATATAAACAATCGTATATGGCTTTCATATATGCTATACATAAGTTAAAATATCATTCTTTGTCGAACTGAAACAATCGCAATTTGCCATTCAATGCAATAAAATTTTATTTCGCTTAAATTTTTTTTCTGTTTATCGCGTTTGGTTGCGTTTAATCAAGTTCTTTAAAAGCAAAACGATTTCTCTAAACATGCTACACGATTTATAATTTCTGCAATTTATCATCTGAAGAATGAGATCGAATCTTATCTTTATATCCTTAATTCATTGTGAAAATGAAGTTCCCATATCTGAAAACAATTTAGTTGGTAATAAATTTGCTACAATGAAAATTAAAGACGTCGATGCGATGAGCCCTCTCGACCGATGAATGGCATTTTCAGGTAATTTAAAGCCTGAGAAAAAAAAGTTAAAAACTACAAAAAGAAATCCCTTTTGAAGACTTCTTAAAATTCTTCGAGCAGTAAGAAAAATTCTGAACATTTACGCTTAAACACCACAAATAAAAATAAAAAAAAATAAATAAAACTTTCAAAAGTGTGCAGGAATTTTACTCGTGAATTTTTCATATTAAAATCCAAAAAAAAACGAAAACGAAATTAATTTTTCTTCATTCATTTTCGCCACGTAAAGAATTCAATTTTTGCTTTCATTCGGTGATGCTGGGAAATTTTTTTTTCTCACTCTTAAAATGATAAAAAAAGAATATAATTCACCAGATTGATGTTTGTTTGTGCAATTTTATTTTATTAAATTTCTGTTCGTTTTCGATATTTTACCAGAAAGTTATATTTGATGTCGATTTAATGTTTTTTGTTTGCTCAAAATTCACAAACAGAAAAACTTTTGCTTCTCAATAGCATCTTCAAATCGTCTCATATCGACAAAAAAAAGAAATGTTTCCTTTAAGAAAAAATTATCGCCAGCTATGAATTGATAATTGAGTAAGTTTCTGCATCAACTCGCTTTAAATGTTCCACACGGACAAATCAGACACAGCAAGGTGCGCTCAAAACCGATTTCATGTGTCAAAATTATGTAGCGGATTTTTGGTGGCAACGACGATGAAATTTCTTTCCAACAACGTCTGCGAAAAATAATTAAGTATCTGTGAACATTCGCCAAAATTCTTCACAAACCTTTTGAATGAACGAGGCTTGAAAGAATTAATTGCAGAGATGATTAAAATTCGGACCTATTCTTCTTCTTCTTTACTTGCTTGAATAAGAAAAGGAAGAAGAAGTAAAAATACGATCATGAACAAAGAATTAAAGGGAAAAAAACTGCCAAAGTGCAATCAGTTAAGTGACTGATGATTTAATTCTCTTCGGCGTTAAGTGAAATTGCGAGATGCAAAATAACTGATGAAGTCGAGTTTACTCGATATCAGCGATAATTATCGAAGACGTAGACGATTGACGAAGGAAAGACAGGAAAACTACTTAAAGTAGCGTTAATTTGAAGTCTTTAGTTCGAGACATTGATGAAGATTTAAGAAGTTGAGCGACTTAACAATAAAAATTTCAAAATCACTTTAAAGTTTCACTCGAGAACTCGACTTTTGCATATGAAAACATTTGCAGTCAGACTTGAAGTTAAACAAGTCATAAATTAAATTGCAGTCTTTTCTTCGTCGCTTTACGATGGTTTCTTTTTATGATCCATGTGAGATCTCATCTGTGAGCAGAAACAGCTTCTAACTTCCCGAGAATTGATTCTTCTTGTTGTTCCAACTTAAAAACCATTTCTTGCCATTTTTAATGAATTGCCATCGCCCTCAACCAGAGCTTCTTCGCTCCCTCGTTTCGCTCGCGTCAATTTAAGTTATGTTTTCACTGCTCTGTTCGCTTTGCATTTTAATTAAAATGAACAAAAAATAAATAAATAACTTGCATTGCTGATGACTCTCTCGCCATTTAGTCGACGCGGGTCATTTGAAAATTTCACGAGAAGTCATCTTAATGACTGACAATGGATCGTCATTCAATAGTCTGCAGTCATCTTTATAGTGTTGCAAGAAAGTGGTAATTTTCACAAATAAAATATATGCAATTAAAACAAAAGCAAATATTTAAATATTTAGACATTATTTTACAAAGCATTGAGAAATCGTAAATAAAAGTTCACGGACAAACAAAATATTTGTTGAATTTGTTTCTTGAATTATCGACAAGAATGAAGAAATTTTTGTTTCTTTTCCTTCTTCTTTCTCCCTTTAAATATTTTTTTATAAAAGGAAAGAGCAAAAATTCTCATAAAAATTAATAAATTTCACGGGGAATTTAAACATAGATTGGTAAATGAATGAAGAGAAGATTAAGTGAATTAAAAGCTTCATTATCAGATTCACCATTCCATGATTTATCTATTCGATTTGATATTATTAATCTACATACATTCATCTTTAAAATAATCTTTCGCATATTTTCGCTCATTTATTTTCTATTATTTACATCAAAACGCAGATTTAAATCTAACAACAAACTATTTTAATCGCTTAAATAGTCGAATCGAAAAGCGATTAATCTTAATAATCACATTTGCAATATGATTTGTTTGTCCATTCGAATTTAAATATTTATTGGTCATGTTTCCAAATCGTTAATCTTAGGCTTTAAAGTGTTTTGTAAAGATTTCCTTTGGAGACGTTTATCATTTGACCACAGTCGATGTGATTTAAATTTCAAAACTAAGAAAGGTTTTGGATTTGTTTTCTTTTCTTCTTAATAACTTCCAGAAAAAGAATTATTGAAGAAATGTATTTTAAAAACTATTTAACATTTTAACTAATAAAAAAGAAGAATGAAAGGAGACATAAAAATGTTTCAACTAACCCGAAGACTACTTTGAAGCTTTTGCTGATTCACGCAATTTTTTTCCTTCTTAATTTAATCTTGTTGCTTTTATCCAAAATGGGAAAGTTCACTTCCCTTTTTTATCTGGCCAAAAAAATTATCGACGTCTTCTTGATGATCTTTGCACAAATATGGGATCTTCCGATATTCCATAAAACACTTTAACGAACCAAGAATGATTCGAACTTTAATTCTTTTTTTTTATAATTCTTACTTCTCTTCTTATTTGTTTCTTAAAACTTTTTATAGCCGAAACAATCACTTAAATGGTCAAATGAAATTAAGAATTTATCTTTCTTATTATTTCGGGATTTTCGTCTTCAAGACAATCTTCCAAAATAAGAATTCTTTTTTCTTAATCCACAAGAAATTGTCAAGTTAAACGAAAGGTTCTTTTATAATTATAATTTTTTTCTACTATTTTTTCTGTCTTTATGTCACAACTTCCAAATACGTCTTGACATCTCGACCAACGCGCTGAGACTAACGACAACACACAGTTTCTCGTCTGAAAGACGAACGGCGACTTAAGAAAATCTGCGTGGCTCGAAACTACTTCGTTTCTCTTTCTCCGTTGATTTCTGTTCCCGTTTCACTTCATCATCGCTTGCAGTTTTACCAAAGCTACATAACAACAAAGATCTTTTATTTTTCTTCTCTTTTTTTTGTAAGATTGTTTCAAGTGGGGATTGCGAGAGAGAAGAAAGAAACACGACGTAGTGGGGAATTATTTAAATCTGATTTTTAGAGTAGGGAAAAATGAAAAAAAATTCTCGCTCACGATCAACTAAGATTGCGATTAAAATCTCGAATCTATTGTTTGTCTTCAATTCGCTGAAGACTTTAATCTCTTTTCTTAGAGCGATGACTAAGTCAAAACAAGTAAACGAAGATGATTCTTTCAGGGTGAAACGTAATTTTAATTTTTTGTAATATTTTAAATCGTGGGCGCAAACGAATCTTCTTCGCTTTCATCTCATTTTTAATCTTCTTCATTAATCTATTCGAATTGATGAGTGTTATGAGCATGAAACCTTCATTTTTCACAGCACTGCTGTTGCATTTTGCATCCGACCACTCATTTTATTCAAAGGAGATAAGCTGGTGACGGAAGTTTGAGCCATTTATTTTTATATCAAACATTTCGATATTCTCCGCCAATCATCAAATTCTTTTTTCGGCAATTTTGATCGTAAAAAAAATGGAAATCAGTCGGCTCATTAGACACGCTATTGGCGTAAATATTCGCGCATTTTGCGTTAATTTTTACAGAAAAAAATCTTTTTATTACTCTTCGTGTTTTCATTGCAATATTTTTGCTTCGTCACTCGCATTTTTATTTTCTAAGTTTTCGCAACTATCTGCTTACCTCTAGCTTCACTTGTTGACTATGGTGGCGTTTCATGGCATTAGACAACAATACGTGGGCTGAACGAAGAAAAAGGAAAAGAAAATATAATAAATTAATAATAAAATGAATGCACATTACTTGAAGAACTTTAAAATTAACACTTGAAAGTCTCAAATATAATTTTCTCTTGTTACATAACAATCATCAAGTGACATAAATGCTTCAACTTTGACGATCATTAGAATTGAAAATGTGAAAGTAATGACAGAGATCAACAACGAATAATGAGCATGAAAAATTGTCATGAAGTTAAAAAGCTGCGCATGTCCAGAACATCAGAATACGTAGAAGTAAAGTCGAAAGATTTCAATGAATGGAAGTGAGAAAAGTAGTTATTTTAAAATTATGACGCCATTCATCTCAACTCAAAAGAACTGTTTAACACTACGTTGTCCATAGCCACGCGAACCGCACATTCATTAATTACAGTATTTAAGCCTGCGACAACATGAATGAAAACTTACTTGAATGAATAGAGAAAAATCTCATAAAGTTGTAAAAATGTCAACAAATTTCATATCTTTTCTTATTGTTATCCCACTGACACTGCCTAGCGTTGTAAACTGAAAATGTGTCTAATTGCATTTCATTATTACAACTTCTTTTCTCCCTCAATGCCTACACATAAATATGAAGTTTTTTTCAATTTTTTTCAATAAGCGACTTTGGAAATGTGTTTGATTGCGGCTTTTGTTGTAGTGCAGTTGCAGCTTGGCAAGTTGTTGAGGGAAATGAAAGAAGTTTTTATTCGCGTTGGGTCTGGCATTTGCCAGAATGGCAACTTTTATTCTCTCCATCCTACTGGAATTAAATCAGAACAAAAAGTTGGGATTTAAGGAACGATTTGTTAGCAATATCAATCTTGCACTTGCAGAGACAAGTTTCTGTTTCTGCACCTTTTTCCATTTTTTGCAATTACTGACGCATATTTCCTAATATAAAACATTACTAATAAAACTTGATTCTTCAAGTCTCACATCTCAACATCTTGAAACACGAATCTGATCTGGAATGAACGTGTATCGATGACGTCACAAATTGTTCTCGACACGTGGGATGACTTTGAGAAGAAAACAACTTTAATGAATGAAAATCTGATGTGGGCTCCGTTGATTTAATACATTTGAAACTCCCCAAAAACCGCATATACAAATATTCACAAACACACACACAGAATATTAATGGAATAAATTAAAGACAGAAAAGGCTTTTTGTTAATGATTCGAGATTTCATTGAACTTCCGTGGCTTTCGAAGCCATGTCAAAGACAATGGCCAATAATAAGAGAATCTTGTTTGAGAACTTGGGGGTGGAGGTCAATCATCTGAAAGCACTTTCGAGAACTTCGTTTTCCATCGCAATGGTTTTAATCTTAATGAAATCTGAATCGTTTGTCGATGACCTTGTGTATTAAGTCAAACGAGCTGAAGAAAGAATTCCATTCGGCCAACGCTTAGACGAGTAAGCAGCCCACTTGATATTAGAATTATTACTTAATCGTTGGCTTGCTGTTTTGAACAACAATCTTATTTTTTGTTTTCACCGATTTTTATTAGAAATATTTTCGATTTTACTGATTTAGATACCGTCACATGTTAGTTGGTGTTACAGTTTTTATTGTGTTAGCAGAACACGGGTAGGCAGTTAAACGATGGCTCTGAAGGTGAAATGAAATAAAATAGATTGAAATAACTACTTGAACAAGCAACCGTGTCAAGTTTCCTCTGACTTTCATTTTTATTCTGGCTGCACGTAAGATTTGCCAAATAATCTTAAGAGGTTCTCACAGTCTGATTGGCGAAGCAAAACACGAGCACAAAGTGAGTTTTAATGGCTTTCCGGAGTCGCCCCCGCTTCAGATCTCATGAAATTAATTTATCCTCTTGTTTCTTCGTTCAAAACAAAACAGCGCGAGGCTCATGTGCGAGCTGAACGCGTAAAAAATCATGTTCAATTACTGTAATTTACATGCGCTTGCTTCAATTGATTCTTTTAACATTTCGGAGATGAACTGAAATTATTTTTTTTGCTCTTTAATTTTCTTGTGCAATCATAATGATGGATATCCGATTTAAATGCAATTTCAATTGACTTTCAAACATGACATTGCATTTACAAGCATGAAGTTAATTTCATATTGCTTTATAATTTGTTCGGTTGCGTCCCACGCATCTCGTAACTTATGAAGTCATGAATGAACGTTGAATATTGATTTTTGTAAATAAAAAAAGCCTTAAGCATTGCAACTCGCTCGTAATCGTGTTACGCTAGAAAACTAGCAAAAGGTAGACACGTTTTCATTCATGAAATGATTCCATTCACAAATTATTAACGCTATGCAGCGTTGAGACTTAAATGAGACATTAATCAGGTTTCTGGTTGCAATCACTTGTGCAGTGCATGGATTGATATTGGCTTAGATATTTGGACTTGCTAATGTGTCGTAATTTTATTTTACTACCCAGAGGGAAATTAAATCTCGCTTCAATATATCGCGGAGTTTATTGAAATTCCACCAACATTTATTTCTCCATTCAAACTTAGATTTGAGTAATTTTCTTAACACTTCCACATAAATATTTTCCTTAAATACTTTTGTTAAACTGCTGAAAAAGCAAAGAAATAATTTTTTATTGTTGATCGTTTTCAAGCACATTTGATGCAAAATTATGTGACATAAAGTACCAGCAAGAGCCGCAGCTACGATGTGTGTGGATTACATGTTAATTAATTAGACGGCTTGAAACTTGTTTCAACTAATTTGAATGCAGATTGTGAAGGTAAAATTTCGCTGATTGCAAAACAGGGTAGCGAGAGCTTCTGAATGTGTCACTTTAATGGCTGACATCATTAAGCTGATATCTTACGAATGTTATTTAGCTTACGTGAAAAGCACAAACGAAGTTAAGTGAGTTTAGATCAACATGATGACTCCAAGCTGTGTTCATCTCCGTCCTTTCCTTAGTTTAAATGCTAATTAATTAAACACAGAGCCACGAAACTTGGCTTCCGAATAATTCGAGAGAGTTTCTTTTATTGTTATAGCATTTGACCATATGAAGTAAACGATACGTGGCGGATGAGATGCGGAATCAAATTCAAAAAAATAAAACGCTCGCTAGCGTCTTGATTGTTCGTCAAGGACCGGCACAAGATTGATATCATTCATTAAATTAACATGCAATTTCATCAAGTCGTCGAGTTTTTGTATTTTTTTGTGTGTTTGACTGAAGTAAAAATCAGAGTAACAAATCACCTTCAAATTTAAATCCACGAGAAGTATATTTTAGAGGCGCGTCCCACGCACGAATCGCATTAATTTCATTAATAAAAACAACTCTTTGAGGCTGGCTCTTGTGATGTTGTTTTTCTCTTTTTTTATGAATGAAAAGTTTTAGCGCGAGCGAGCGGTATGAATTACAATAGCAACAACGTGTTTCTTTTTCTTTTTTGCTGCTCGAACATTACGCGATCATGTGTGTGGGTGGCGTTTGTGATATTTTACTTCGATGGAATAAGTTGAATGATATGAACTTCGGAAATGATCGATGGATGTTGTGAAAATGCAGATGAGATATGATTTTTTTGTTACTTTTTATGTTGAAAAATGTTGTCTATAAGAATAAAGCACACTTAGCAACAATTTATTAATGTTATGTTCAAGTTTCTTTGTAGAAATAAAACTTATGATAAATGAAAAGAAATGACTTGAAATGTCAAGAATAAATAAATCAATTCAAAATATTTATGTGGATAGAGATATGCCGGATGTTGCAATCTGGAGTAGGTGTTATAATTACATTTATTAATATTTCTGACTCAATTCCAATAAGCCATTAAAACAAATTATTTTGAAATGCAAAATGACAGAATTGAGTTGAAATCAATAAATTAAAATTGTTTGATTCTGTTTTATTATTTTAAATCGTTAATTAAAGTTGCTTATCTTTTCATTCATGGTTGAAAAATTTTCAACATAATTTGCTTATGGCCACTGGACAGTTTCAAAAGCTTCACAAAAATATTTTTCGTAGAATTTTATGCAACCAACGATACTTCATAAGCACGTTCATGGAATATCAGCTGTTTGATAACAATGAATGTACATGGGTGTGTGTGAGTGTTTACATATATTTCCATGTTAACATGCTTTCAATACAATCACAAATATTTTATGTTCATGCTTTTTAACTGTTCATGAAATAAAAATTCTCAGCAGTTTCTCTCAGACATTTGTAGGCTGAAGACGTTTCTAATCAAAGTTTATTATCAATTTCACCATTTGTTCTTCTTTGTTTAAAACTGGTTTAGTTTGACTCAATTAGTTTCTGTCAATAGAACATTTTTATTGGAAAAATGGCAGCGAAAATTCTTGACACACCCGATATTGAGGTAAATCTATTTATAGATACAAATATTGCATAATTCAATGTAGGTCGTTAGTTGATCTATTGAGATAGGTCAGTTACAATGTTTGACTTCTACATATCATTTGTAATGATTGAGTTTTTATTATTACGAAACAACTATTTGCGGAATGAGTAAAATTTAAGGAAATATGCAATCTTTGAAAAAAAAAATATTTTCCGAGATTCAAGATTTTCAAGACGCAAAATAAACTTGAAGAGAATCGAAAATTGTGTTTTGCGTAATTAAATGAAGCCTTGGAAATTAGTTAAATAATCATTTATATATTTTTAGAGCTTGTTATCTCTAAATCCACGCGTCCAAACTAAATGTTCCGTGCTTTCAACTGTTGAGTCGCAAAAAAACAAAAAGCATTGGAAACGTAACGCAGATAAGAGCGAAGCTGTGAGTTGTTGTTGATAATCATTTTTTATTTTGTAAATTGAACTTGAACTATAAATTTTCTTTTTTGGGAACATTTTTTAGAATTGTCGTTCGTTAAAAAATGATTTCACTGATATCAAACATACGACACTTTCTGAACGTGCTGCATTAAAGGAAGCAGCGAGATGTTTAAAATGTGCTGATGCTCCGTGTCAAAAATCATGTCCAACTCAACTTGACATCAAAACTTTTATCTCAAGCATCTCCACGAAGAATTATTACGGTGCAGCTCGATCAATTTTCTCTGATAATCCTTTGGGGTTAACGTGTGGAATGGTTTGTCCTACCAGTGACTTGTGTGTAGGTGGATGTAACTTGGCAGCTGTTGAAGAAGGGCCAATAAATATCGGAGGGTTACAACAATTCGCAACTGAAGTTTTTAAGCGCATGGGCTTGAAGCAAATTTTAGACCCAAACATAAAACCTTTAACAACAAATGCTGAAGCTCCGATTGTTCTTCTTGGTGGTGGGCCGGCATCTCTATCATGTGCAACATTCTTAGCTCGTCTTGGCTACAAGAATTTAACAGTTTATGAGAAGCAAAATTATTTAGGAGGATTAAGTTCATCTGAAATTCCACAATATCGATTGCCATTTGATGTCGTTGACTTTGAGATTAATTTAGTGAAAGATCTCGGAGTGAAATTTGAAACTGGAAGAAGTTTGTCGTCAAAGGATATAACAATACAAAAACTTCTTGATGACGGAACGGCTGCAATATTCCTTGGCATTGGATTACCACAAGCTAAAATTGCGCCGGCATTTCAAGGCTTAACAGAGAGTCACGGATTCTTCACATCGAAAGATTTTCTTCCACGTGTTGCTGATGGAAGCAAGAAAGGAATGTGCGGTTGTAAATCTTCAAATCTTCCTGTCTTAAATGGAAATGTCATTGTTCTTGGAGCTGGCGACACAGCATTTGATTGTGCAACATCTGCTTTAAGATGTGGAGCAGCAAAAGTCTTTGTTGTGTTCAGAAAAGGTTCAACAAACATTCACGCCGTTCCGGAAGAAGTTGAACTTGCGAGGGAAGAGAAATGTGAGTTTATTCCATTCATGTCACCAGTTGAAGTCATCACTAAAAATGGAAGAATTACACATGTCGAGTTTTGTCGAACAGAGAAAGACGAAAATGGAAAGTGGATTGAAGATTTTGACCAAATTGTGAGGCTTAAAGCTAACTTTGTAATATCTGCTTTTGGTTCTGGTTTGCAAGAACCAGAAATGATTAAAGCAATGTCACCAGTTCCACTCAATACTTGGGGTTTACCAGACATTAACGAGAAGACTCAACAAACTTCTGTGCCGAGTATTTTCTGCGGAGGTGATCTTGGTGGTTACTCAGGAACAACTGTTGAGTCAGTAAACGATGGAAAGACTGCAGCTTGGTACATGCATTGCTATCTGCAAGATTTACCCTTCAACACTGAACCGAGTCTTCCTTTGTTCTTCACTGAAATTGATCTTGTTGATCTTTCAATAGAAATGTGTGGCGTAAAGTTTGAAAATCCTTTTGGACTAGCATCAGCACCTCCAACAACCAGCATTCCAATGATTCGTAGAGCTTTCGAACAAGGCTGGAGTTTTGCATTAACAAAGACATTTTGTCTTGACAAAGATATGGTCACAAATGTTTCACCGAGAATCGTCAGAGGAAGTACTTCCGGGGAAAATTATGGACCGGGACAAGGAAGCTTCCTGAACATTGAATTGATATCTGAAAAATGTGCTGACTATTGGCTGCGTGGAATCAAAGAATTACGAGAAGATTTTCCGACGAAAGTTGTTGTTGGGAGCATAATGTGTTCGTATAATAAGGAAGATTGGATTGAACTTGCACAGAGAACTGAAGCAGCTGGTGCACAGATTCTTGAATTGAATTTATCATGTCCACATGGTATGGGCGAGTCAGGAATGGGGTTAGCATGTGGTCAAGATCCGATATTAGTTCGAGACATTTCCAAATGGGTGCGAGCTGCTGTTAAAGTTCCATTCTTTATTAAGTTGACGCCAAACATCACTGACATTGTCTCCATTGCTAAAGCGGCTCATGAAGGTGGTGCTGATGGTGTAACTGCCATTAACACTATCTCTGGTTTGATGTCGTTAAATGCTGATGGCGTTGCATGGCCAAATGTTGGAAAAGAGAAAAGAACAACATACGGCGGAGTTTCAGGAAATGCTACAAGACCAGTTGCTTTACGAGCGATTTCATCTGTTGGAAATGCTTTGCCTAATTATCCAATTATGGGCACGGGTGGAATCGATTCAGCGGATTCTGCTTTACAATTCCTGCAATGTGGAGCGTCAGTATTGCAGATTTGTTCAGCAGTTCAAAATCAAGATTTCACCGTCATTCAAGATTACATCAGTGGATTGAAAGCTCTTTTGTATTTGAAAAATAATCCACCACCGGAAAATTTGCATTGGGATGGCCAATCACCACCAACACAAAAACTTCAGAAAGGAAAAGCTGTTGTTAAACTCACCGATGAAGATGGAAATACTTTGATGCACTTTGGTGAATATTCAAAGAAGCGAGAAGAGAAAATTGTTAAACTACATGAAGAAAAAGGTTCACTTTATGATCCTTTATCAGGTAAGTTACAAAATATTTGTATTTTAATTTACTCCAAGTTTCTCAATTCCCAAAAAAGAACAATTAGAGGCAGTAAAAATATCACCATTGAATGGAATTAAGCAGGCTGTTAAAGTCGGAGAAGTTATTGGAAGCGCTTTGCCTCGAATTGGACCATACAAAAAGTTAGACAACACTAAACAAGTCGTTGCTTTGATTGATGATGTGAGTTTTTCAGAGATTCCCATAATAAATAAATATTTGCTAATATTTTAAATATTTTTAGGATTTATGCATTAATTGTGGAAAGTGTTACATGACTTGTGCTGATTCTGGTTACCAAGCCATTTCGTTTGACTCGCAAACTCATTTACCAACTGTTACTGATGATTGCACAGGTAAAATATAAATTTTATGTTTATTCGTGACTTAATTTGCTTTCTTTATCTGATAATGTCCATTTCAGGTTGCAATTTATGCTTGAGTGTCTGTCCAATTATCGATTGCATTACTATGGTGCCAAAGCAAATTCCACATGTGATCAAACGAGGAGTTCCAGATCCGGAGAAGTTTTTGGTACATGCTTTAAGTCCCTCACAATAATTTTTCTCATAAATATTTCATGTTTTATGTTTTTTTTCCCAATTTTAAAACAACAATTTATATTTCATAATTAATAAAGATGATGTATTGCTGGTTGCAGACTTTTGCATACAAAACGCATGAAAAGCTTTTTCTACTTACGTCTACCAAAAGTGAGCGTAATTACGTAGCAACTTACGTAAATAAGTGTACGTAATTGATCACCTCGGCCGAATCTCATCATATTTGAGCTTTTTCTTAATTGCCTGTTAACTGAATTTCACTGGCTGTAAATTCCTTATATTCTCTTTATTATCTTTTGCACTTATTAAACATGCAGTTTATTTAAAAACGTTTAATAAATTTGACAACTTTTTAACAAAGAACTTTTATTTTTTAATTTCGATTTTATTGCAAAAAAAATTTATATCAATAATCAAAATATTTTTGGCATATTTTGCGTCGTCCTGTTGTATCCATTTGAGGTCGATGTAAGAAAATTAGAAAATTATAATGTGAATTTGATGTCATAATTGTTATTCAAAATCAAATTTTCAAACCTGATTCTTCAGTTTCGCAATCTAATACCGGGCAACACTCTCCTTCTGGGTAATATAATTTACATCTTGACAGATCTTCTGGAGACATCATAGCGACATAATCAGGACACTGTTGATATCTTTCCGAAATTTCATTAAAAATACAAAACTTCTCAAGACATGAAGCGACATTAATTGGTTCTTTTGAAATATACGACCCATGCCTATACGTTTTTCCTTCATATTCACAACTGCAATCCAATTGGGGGGAACATTCTCCATCTTCAAATACATGTTTACACTTTCTGACTTCTTCTGGACGTTTTATGCGATCATAAAAAAAACAATCCCTAGACCATGGATCGACGCTTCCATTCAAACATTGATAACCTTCACATAGCCTTTTATTTTCATTATATTGACGGTAGACAATTTCATAATCTTTATATATTTTTCCTTCATATGTGCAAGGAAGAAGATTTGCTGTGAATAAAAAAGACGAAAATTAGTTAATTTTAATATCAGTACGAAAGTTAAGATACTAAACTCGGTCTAAGTGTTGTTGAATGATCAAAGTCAGGATCAAAGTCATCATAATCATCATAATCTTGACGCGCTGCGCAATCTGGAATTAAAAATTAACGATTAAATATAGAAATTGGTTTTAATAACTGTTTATTAATTACACTTGGTTAGAAATGCAAGAATCAATGGGAAAGAAAAAATGAACTTTGAATACATCATAAGTATCTAAGTACGTCTTGATAGCACGAAAGTATTAAAAGATGTGAAAAAAATGAGTGAAAATTTGACTCCGACGACGTCTAAAAATTTTTTAAGTTGGAAACATCTGGATAAACTCTCATCGTGAGTAATTAATCGATTGGTAATCAGAGGATCAGTTATTGAAAAAAATAAAGGCAAAAATATCTTTTGAATGTTGTTCGCGTTAGTTTAATTGAACAAGTGTCACTTGGCGTCAATTGACATTAAATTCAAAGATATTCGCTGATATTATTCAATCGTGTCAATATAAATGTCGCATTAGAATCGATTTAAATTTAACAATTTATCCTCCCGCTTTTTACATCTTAAGAAGTTTTCGTGTTGCAGATCATTTGCTTTAAAACAAATCGTTGCAAAAAATATCATAGGAAACAAAAAAAAACAGGTGGAAATATTTTAGTAACATAACTTCGTTTTATTCTCATTCATTTTTTTTTATTGTTTTCTCATCCCCAATTAAATAACAATTGTCATGTCAAAATTCGTAACACCTCGTCAACAAGTTTTTAGTGAGAGATTTATTACAGCTTGTTGACTAATTCTGATGAATATCAGAACTTTACTTAACTGTTATTTATCATTAATATCTTAATTAGGATTGTCATATTTTTAACTTCTTCTTCTTCCCTTCTAGTGTCAAGAAAAGTTTCTTAAACTAAAATTTGATCTTATCATCTTGAGACTTGACACGACTTTATGTAGTTTAAGTCGGCAGAAGCAATGAGAAACTTGAGATAATTTTTATTATTAATTACTTTATCGTAGCACTTGTAAGATTCTTATTATTTCAATGTAATGCTTGCGAAATAACCTCGTACATATTAAAGAGTAAACAACTGCCTAGATTGATAACAGTTTAGTATCATTTACTTCCCAGTAGATTTCAACAACTAAGTGAATGAATGAACACTTGAATTCATTTTCTGTAAAGCATTAATTCTCTTCAAAACGTGTTAATGACGATAATATTTTCTTTGCAATTAAATAAAACGTTAAGAAATGCAAAATGTTAATTACATTATTATTTGTGTATTCACATCTGCACTTCAGTTTCATATCTCACTATCTGCTTAAATACTTTTAACTTCAGCAAAATCTCAACACATATTCGGATAATTTTTGTTGGTTAATTGAAGAGTTTGGATGCTAAATTAAAGTATTAAGCGCACGAGTTCACTAATTTTAATTTATATTTTTGGCTTGTTGGCGGTGAGTTGTTGAGTATTTATAGTCAAGATCAAGCGAGGTCTCGTGTCATGGAACTGGATGAAAGAAAATATTTACCATTACTTCAACGTACCAAGCCACTTAACAAGTCTACGAATTATGTACAAGTAAAAAATTAAAGCAAAAACCAGAATTCACACAAAAAACTTGGGACTGCTTGTGATGAACATTTACGTTTATTATTATTTTTTGCTTAATTCAGTTTTAGTGGATTGTGATGAACAAAAGTTTTAAACTCAACTTCATATTACTTAGTTAGCCGACGATTTTCGAAGAGTGACAGTCAATTTTATCCAGCGTGAAAGATTGTTTGATTTTAAATAAAGAATGGAAAGTCCAACATTCTCTATCGACGCGTGTGCCCAACGGAACAACAAACATAGATGACGAGACTTTAGAATTTTTTCTCCAATATAAAAAGTGAATCATTAAAAAACTTTAAAAATTACCAGTTTAACATTACTGATATATAAACGATAAACCGAAAAAGTTTGATTTAGTGTTACTTTGAAGATTGAACTTGAATATTTTTTTTTATGATTGGAGCGTGAACCGCTTATAAACATAAATGTTTACAAACGAATTGAGTTTAACAATTCAAGTGTTTTTTAAAAGTCATCTTGATCATCGCGACTAAAGTAAATACACGTTTTGTTAAGTGAAAGACAATAAATAATTAAAAGATGATGGTAAAAGTTCTTCTGTTTACAATTCTTTGTTATCAAAGTTGCGCGGAAATAATTCAAACACAAACAGGTGAATTAACATCATAAATAATTCTGCTTGAGAATAATTATTTAATTAAGAAAAATCTTTTTTATGGCTGATCCAAGGCTTTTGAAACAATTAAGTTTAAAATGTTTCTCTGTTGTTTCATTAAATAATAATCAACCTCGAAGCTTAAACCAATTGTTTTTGCATATAATTTTGGTATCAAAGTTGATGTATGAGCCTAATAAACATTATCAATGATTATGATTAATTATTTTACATTACTAGTAGTTATAATAAAGACTTTATCGACCAGTTATTAACAAATGTAAGCCATCAATCAAATTAATCTTCAATTAACATTTTATTAAGAACTTTGAACAATCAATTCAGCTGTTCGAATAATTCTTGGATGTACTTAGATACACATTTTCATAGATACCATCAAGGATCTAAATATTTCGACACAGACATTTCAATTAATAAAGAAATCTTTTTTTTTGTTTGTCATAACAGATCACATGTGTGAATTAATATTGGATACAAAGATTTTATTTATTCCTGCTAATGAGACGTGGTCAAGCTCCGAAGACCCGTGCGTAGTCTACAAATGTTTAAAGACATTTGAAAATGAAAACAAAATAGAAATTGAGAAGATTGAATGTAACATAACATGCCCTGAAGATTATGTTTATAAAAATTCAACAAAAGATTGTTGCGGAAGTTGCTACGCAACATTTTGCATGTTGGATGATGTGAAACATAAAATTGGAAGTATTTGGAAAAGTGACAATAATTGCACAGTTAATGAATGTGTATACAATAGTGATGAACCTTATGTCACATCTTACAAGAAATCATGTCCGAAAATTAACAGTTGTGAGTTGGAAAGCATCGAAGTCAAAGATTGTTGTCCATATTGTAATTCAATGAAGTCAATGAGAAAAAATCTTCCATTGATAAACGAAGTTAAGTTAACTAATCGAGACAAATACCGACTACACCCATGTCTAAGAGAATGTGTCGAAGGTCAAGAACTAACGTGTTATTATGAATTCGTTGTTGAGAATTTTCAAACGATGAGTAAAGCTTGTTACAATTGTCCATCGAATATGACTGATTGCTATAAGCCGCATTGCATACCAGCTGATGGGATGATGAGAAGTATAACTGTGGTCAATCGAATGATGCCTGGGCCTAACATTGAAGTTTGTGTAAACGACACAATTATTGTAGATGTCAAGAATCATTTGATGAGTGAAGGAACTTCAATTCATTGGCATGGCTTACATCAAAGAAACACTCCATACATGGATGGAGTTCCACAAATAACTCAATGTGCTATTCCAGTTGGTCAAATCTTTCGTTACACATTTAGAGCTGACAATTCTGGAACTCATTTCTGGCATTCTCATCTTGGAATGCAGAGAGGTGATGGAGTTTATGGAGCGATAATTGTTAGAAAAGCTGAAGAACTGAATGAGAATCTTTACGATTATGATTTGTCTGATCATATTCTTATAACAATTGATTGGACACATTTACCGGCAACTTCCATTTTTACAAGTCATCATCACAGTGGAGGTTCGAACAAACCACCAAACATTCTCATTAATGGTAGAGGGAAATATTTTGGTAATTTATCATTAGCAATTACAAATAATGATGAAATGGTTCCTACTACAACTGAAAGTTTTGAAGAATTCGAAACAACGTTTAATATTGAGAATGTTGAAGAGACAACAACTGAAAGCATTAATCAAGATGAACATCAAGAAGTTATTAATCGTTCTAGTCGATCTATTTCAGGTGCTCCAGCTCCTGTGCAACCTCCTGAGAAACTTGGTAATCCAAGTCAAGAATCAATTCTTGTACCATTTGAAGTGTTTAATGTTGTTAAAGGATTTCGTTACCGATTCCGTCACATTAACGCTGGTTTTTTAAATTGTCCAATACAATTATCAATTGATAATCATACAATAACTGTGATATCATCAGATGGAAATGCTTTGGAACCAGTCGAAGCAACATTTTTAACAACTTATGCTGGTGAAAGATGGGACTTCATCGTCAATGCCAACCAAGAAGTTGGAAATTATTTTATAAGGGCACGTGGTGGAATGGACTGTGATGAAAGATTCACATCAGCTTTCCAAATGGCTGTTCTACACTACCAAGGAGCTCCTGAAGAAGATCCAAAGGAAAAGCCAAGTTATGATATGAAACGAGAAGGGCTTGCATTGAACTCTTTAAACACTGGTTCGGGACAAGAAACATCAATAACTGCGGCAGAATTAAAATCTTATGAGAAGAAAGAGAATAAAATTTTGAAACCGGAACCAGATTACAAGTTCTTTATATCCTACGACTTCTATGGTAAAGACAACCCGTTGTTTCATGTGGAAAATCTTTACGGCTTTAATCAAGGTAATAAAAATCTTTAATTCAATAATTATTTTATAATTTTACGTTTTTCCAAGTTGAAATTGGTCGCATTTACACGCCACAGTTAAATCATATCACAATGCAAATGCCAGCAAAACCTGCAATGCTTGCCAAAGGTCTTCTTGATTCGACATTTTGTAACGAATCGTCGTTGTTATCGCAAGGAATTAATTGCAGGGAGGTGTTCTGTCATTGCACTCATGTCTTGCAAGTGCCACTTAACGCTGTCGTTGAAATGATATTAGTTGATGAAGGCTTTACATATGATGCTAATCACATGTTTCATTTGCATGGGAATTACTTTAATGTCATCGGAATGGATCGATTAGGAACAAACGTGACAATTCAAGAAGTCAAAGAACTTGACAGAATGGGAAGACTGAGAAGAAAGTTAATCGATTCTCCTCAAAAAGACACAGTGACAGTTCCTGATGGCGGCTACACAATTATAAGATTCTATACTGATAATCCTGGAAGTAAGAAAATATTTGAATTATCAGACGAACTTGACATTCATTGTCAAGGTTTCGACTTTAAAAATCAGACATTTTAAGTTCTTCCTTTTTAATATTTCATAGTGTGGTTTCTTCATTGTCATATTGATTTTCATGCAGAAGTTGGAATGGCCATGATGTTGAAAATCGGAGACTACTCTGAAATGCCTTCACCTCCTAAAAACTTTCCTACATGTTTCGATGTTAGCAGTGACGAAGATCGTGAGAAGCGAAGCAATTCAAATTCGTTGAAGTTTTCAATATTTCTATTATTTATTCAAGTTTTATTGTATTAAGTAATTTTGTGATCAGTTAATAAATGTTGCGTTTTATGATTGTTTATTACTTACGAATCCCTTTATAAATATCAGTTTTTATAATTTTTCTGATTATCTAATACAACTCTAGGTATATCTCTAATTATCTTAACAAACTAAATTAATTAATTAAAAATCAATGAAATATTAAGATTAAAGCTTTAGGAAAATGGCTGGTGCTTAAATTTAATTACATTTAAAACTTTAATAAGTTATTACCAATCACCAGAATAAAGATAAATATTTCTCTCATTATTACTTACGAAATATGCAAAAACCTTCTATAAAATAATTTCCCTGACATTTCTTACATCGAGGGTGAATTGAAGCTTTCTATTTAACATTGACCTTTTTCCAAGATCAATTGTATAGTTGCAGTTTATGCATTAAACATATAGGGTAGTTGGCTAGTAGTGACACCACCCGAAAACGCGTCCAGTAGTGACACCACTTTATTTCGATTTAATTTTATCTGCGATTAGGGCTTACCGGAAAAGGCGATTTGTTAATTATTTATCCTTGAACCTTCCTCTACCGTTATGTATTAACACATTCCTCCGGTAAGCTCTAAGAGCTGTTAAAATTAAACTAATAGAGTGGTGTCACTACTGGACGCGTTTTCGGGGGTGGTGTCACTACTAGCCAACTACCCTAACATCATTTTTAATTGAACGTTTCCTTCCTTGGTATCCTTTGAATGGCAGGCTAATACTTATCAAATAAACGACTGTCAAAATGATGATTATGTGGCTTTAAGTATTGACTATGAAATTCCACTATAAAAGAATTTAAATTTTATTCTTGATCTTCAGTATTTCTTT